GATCCCAAGTTCCATGCTAGACAGACAACACAAAAATGATTTTGTATCAAATGCCTGATTTACCAAGAGTGCAAAAGGTTTTAAGTGTAACTTATTAAACATTATTTTGTGATTATACATTTGCAGCAGAATTTTGATGGTGATATCTTCTGAGAAATCAGAGACAGTAGTGTAGACAGGGTGAGAGCAAGGAAAAGGCAGGAACAGGTTACAAGTCACTTGTCTATCCCATAATGGAAAACATACAAAGCTTAAAACTTGAAATGATTATTGAACATAGTCAGTGACTATATTCAAGGAGCTTTGTGTATCATAAGAGAAGGGAAACATTACTTTTCCCTCTTAAAATTGGGGAGGGGGTTGTACTTTTACCAGTTGAATGTCTGTGTTGACTGCTGTCTGCTGTGCAAAGAAACTTCTCTGATGTGTTGTGAGAATTGTACTATCGTATGGGCCTAAAGATATGGATTTAGAGGGCAGTTTGAGGCTCTGTCCAGTTAGCAGAATCGTAGAAGCAGGATCACCTCTGAGGCCAAAGAGCTCCCAAACTATGGTTCTTACTCAGATTTGCACTTCTAGGTATGTGCTTCCTCGCATGTCATGGGCCTTAGGTCCAAGCTGAAGCTGGCTCCCATTGCATTCACACCACTGTTCCGCCTATGGCATATCTTGCTGTTGCAGTCAAGATCAAACCAGTCAGCATTCCAGCGTGGAGTAAGGAAGGGGCTTATGAGCACACACCTCTGGCTGAGGAACCGTTGACAGTGGATGGCTTCTGGTAGAGGGAGATTCATTTTCATGGAAGGGGTAGCTCCTGACAGGTTGATCACTCTCCAGTGGGTGGCTCCCTACTCATAAGTACACAAGCAGCACAAATTAGACTTGGTAAGTTATTTTTTTAAAAAGGAGAAAGAGAAAACTTTGGAGAGCTGGGAGTTAAGGTATGGATCTGAAAGAAATTGGAGGAGGAGAGGAGAACAGTTAAGATAAAATCACATTGTATAAATGTATGAAATTCTCAAAGACTTAATAAACTGTTATATTAGAACTGGAAGAAGGAAGGCTGTGGTAAGGAAAATAAGTAAGAATGCCAAAGGCCAACATTACTGCTGAGAATAATTTGAAAAAAAAAATTAGACGCTAGCTCTTCAGGGTGGCTATTTGGAAAATATTTACAGATTCAGCCCGTGCTACATAGTGAGACTTTGTCACAAATGTTTTAGTCTTGATAGTTTAGACCTACATTATAGAAACTAACTATGTGCCAGAAAGACATTAGGAAATTTGATATGCTATAAGCTAATCAAAAACTACTTTTTAGAAGAGTTTGGATGCAGGTGCCCTAGGTGGATAGAGAATGCTGTTACAAAAAGCCACTGTTTGCTTTAAAGGGTTTGTTTTATTTCTAAGTCTGTGTATGTGTTGGGGGATGGGGAGGCGGGCTCTGTCACCCGAGTCAGGTGCCCAGGGAGGTCAAAGCCAGAGTTGTGAGCATATTCATATGAGTGATTAGAAGAAAACTCAGGTTCCTTGCAAGAGTAGTATGTGCTCTTAACTACTGAGCCATTTCTCCACTGCTGAAGCCATAGATTACTAAACAAAAAAGTGCTAGTGTCTAGGTGGACTACCTTCCTAGGAGTTGTTGGTCAGGGCGGCTCATGAGGCCAAAACAATACAAGGAATTGCTGCTGCTCTTGGTGGCCCAGCAAGTCTTTATGGCAAGACCCCACTGCTGACTATGCCACATACTGTAGTCACAGGATGTAGAGAAGCAAGCTAGAACTTGCTGCCTACTTGCTGGTTAACTGTTACAGTGCCAGAAGTGTGGTCCAGGCTGGCGGGAATGGATGGTCCTGCTCAGCTGTGGACCCTGTGTGCCTACTGGGCTGGGCAAAATAAGCTCATCCATGCAATAACGGCAAGTCTGCTACAGGATAACCAACTGTTACTTTTCTGTTGCTGTGAAGAGACACCATTTCTTTTCAACTTAGAAAAGAAAGCATTTAATGGGTGGGGGTGGGGCTTGCTGTTTCAGAGAGTGAGTCTATGGCCAGCATGACAGGGAGCATGGCAAACACAGGACTGGAACAGTAGCTGAGATCTCACATGTTGAAACAACCATAAAGAAGAGAGAGACAGAGACAGAGAGGAAAAAAAGCAGACAAACACATACACAGATAAAGAGCCAGAGAGAGAACACTAACTAAAGTGACAGAATAGCAGGATCTTTTGCTCTTAATCCTTCACAGTTTCACCAGCTGGGGACCAAGTATTCAAACATAAAAGTCTATGGGGGCCATTCTTATTAAAACCTCCACACAACCATTTTCTGACTGGATTTGATGCCTACTCCACAGAAGGGATTCACATCTGCTAACACAATTTTGAGCAAAAACTTATGGCTGGGAAGGTTATAGGTCCTTCTGTGGTTGTTTTGCCAAATGGACAGGATATACCCATCAAATTGCCTTCAGAATAGCCATGATTATGCCCATAAATTAATGCTGTTGTCAGCTTTAGTCAAACATATTTCTTTATGTGGTGGTCAACAGTTACACTGAAAATTCACAGCAGGTCAAGATATTGAGAAAAAATGACTGTGGAATGTCCAGCCGTAAATGAGATATGTATATCACCTTCTCCAAGACTCAGGGAACTAATGGGGTAAGAATCAGAAAAAATGTAAGAGCTGGAAGATGTGGAGACCAGTAGGACATCCAGGCATTTCATGGCTGATACACTCTTGAACTCATGGCAGATGTGATTAATTGCACAAGATCTGCACAGAATTGCACCTGTCAATATGTTGTCGTAGAACAGCATATTGTGGAAGGGTTCAGGGGACCCGCTCTTCCGTGAGGACTTACACACAGTTAATGGTTGGTGAGGAGGGAAGTTTTCTTCAGTGGTGTGGGTACTGGTGAAGTACCCGTGTTTCCATAAACAACGCAAACTCACTGGGTCACACACACACATACAAAAGCAGAAAGGGGGCTATTTATGAAGAAGAAAGGGATCAGTCGGAGTGGGAGGGGAACTTGAGAGTATAATGGGGGTGGGAATGATAAAAAAAATACAGTGTGGAGGACACGTATGAAATGAGACCTACTATTATGTATAATTCATATACGCTAATGAAAGCATTAAAAAACACTTGCTCTTTTAGACCTGACATGTATATTAATGTATGTGTGGGGAAAATAATGATTTTTAAAAATAATCTATGGAAGAAAATATAGAGATGTGCGTGTACATATAAAACAGAAGCATATATGTATCCATGCTCAAATAATCACTGCTGGCCGAAATACAGCATCCTTTATGCTTCTATGTACATCCTCCTGTATTCTTAGTTAATTTTAGGTCACTTATGATGCTGTTTAGTGACAGCTCCCTCTCAGTCAGCAATGGAAATATGTTCTGAACAATGCATGTTTAGGCTTTTTTATTGTTGTGAGCTCAGAGAGTAGACCTACACAAACTAAGATGGCTGCACCACTGCCAACCAATATGATTCCAGGTCCCTAGTGGTTAATGCATTTTGTTCATGACAAAATCATCGTGAGTTGTTGAGCAGTATATGACGATAGTTGCTATCAGGGAGTGTTACCAAGAAAAAATGTTGATGTGTTCAGTGAAGAATTGTTTTCAAACATGTTTCCCTAATAAGGAAAAAATGGATTCACAGGTCTGACTGTACTGCATACTGATCCTCTACCCTCACCAGACTATTGATACTGCAATTGGCATTAGTCTTGTGGTATCTTATAGTGTTTAGAATCCTTGGGAATCTTGGTAAACTCTTCATTTTACATGTAACACATTTTATTCCCTTTGCCACACTGCACCCTCCAAGCCCTCAGGGAGGATGAATGTTCTTATCTCTTCATTTCCCAATCCAGCCTTGCCTAAAAGTGCTAGGAAGCAGAGCAGTCGCCCACTCCTTCCAAAGTGCTCTTCTATATTTTGTCATAACCTAGCACTTCTCCTTTCTTGCACAATTGTTTCATTTTCTCTAGAAGGAAAAAAAAAGCTGTAATAAAAAATATACTTCATTTCCATTCTTTTTACTCTGGAGCTTCTGAGTACTTACAAATAAACATACCTAAGCTCTTATTATTGCACAGATATCTTTATGAAGCATAGAAATAATTGGCAAATACATTTAATCACAGGCATTTTCAAATGCAATTACATTTTCATGTGTTCTTAAATGGAGGTAAAATTCTACAATCCTCTGACATGGGATCTTAATAGCTAGCTCATCTCTGTGAGCAAATATGTGATTAAACAAATTCAAAAAAGGGGAATATTATTTTGACCCATGATTTCAGAAACTTTAGTGCAGTTTCTTCACTCTGTACATTCAGGCAGATTGTCATAGTGGCAGAAATATGAAAGCAGCTGTTTACTCCTTGGACAGGAAGCAGAGAAAGGGGATATAGGGAGAGGCCAGGCAAGCTATAGCTGCACCCAGCATGGACACACCCATGATGACTTACATCTTTCAATGAGGCCCACTTCCTACTTTCCATCACTTCCCTAAAGTGTTACTATATTATAAATAAATCAAGGAATTAATTTGTTCATCTCTGGAAACATCATAGACACATTCAGAAATGTGCTTCATGTATCTTCTTGGTCTTTTTCAACCCAATCAAAAATAACCATCAAGAGCGGCATGAGACTCTCTCTCTTATAAAAGAATCCTGTGGCAAGGTGAGTCCCACAATGACCACTTTTCTCACCTGGCCCCAAGGATGGTAGTTTAAGTTTGAAAAACAAGTTCAGATTTTGCTCTGCAGCAGGTCCCAAGATGTAGCTCAACCTTGAACATCAAATTAGATGACAACCAGACATGCAATTTCAGGATATGCAGAACTTTCTTCTCTGTGTAGTTCTTTTCATGGCCTGCCTGGTGGTGGAGGAAAGAATGAAAACGCCTGTATCTCCTGATAGGTTTTAGAGACTGCTGATGTCTGTGTCTCTTCATGTTTCAGATGGGCGACTCCAGTGAAGACATAGACCAGATGTTCAGCACGTTGCTGGGAGAGATGGATCTCTTGACCCAGGTAAGCATACAAACCATGGGGGACAGGGATTATAGAATTTGAGGTGAGTGTTGTCTTTAAAAAACGTCAGAAATTGACAACATCATATGCCCTGACGTAGTTGTAACTGTGCCGAGAGAAAACAGTAAAGTTTTTATTGGTTCTGCTCCACAGACCACATGGTTTAATATAACAGGCATACACATAGTTATGTCAGTGTCGATGGTTATTTCCATTGGAAGAATTCCCATGTTTCCTTCAACGAACACCTCTGAGCCAAACCCTGCACTTACCTTGTAGAGACTAACTGAGAAAATGGCACCCAGAAGGATGTTTTTGTGTTGTCCTTTAAGGAAATACTGTGTTTCAAAGGACTACAGCGTCATTCTGAATTGATGTTAGAACTCAGTACTCTCTGAGAAGAATGAAGGCCACTCAGCTGGGCGCTACCTAGCTGAGAAAAGCAGCCAACCAAACTAGATTGCTCTCTCTGTGTCAGGTCAGACAGAACCCAGCAGTCAGGGGCTCAAGGACTGCTGACTCATGTCACAAAAGCCTGCGAGCTTTCCTGTGTCTTTAATGTTCTTACAAATGTTTCTTAGTTTATGGGACCACTAAACTGATCACTTCTACACGCAATGTGAACATACAAATGATACAATAATCTAAAGAAGATGAGAACATTAGGTCTCTACAAAAAAGAGGAAGACAAACTGCTCTAGGAAAATTTAACCATTTTTAGTTAGCATCTATTTTCTATTCCCAAAAAAATTCATGCAAATTTGGATTCTATGAAAGAAGAGACAAGGGTTGCGGAGGTGGCTTAGTGGATAAAGGCACTTGCTATCAAATCCGAGAGTTCACTCTCAGGACCCACGTAGCAGGAGGGAACTGATTTCTGCACGTTGGTTTTGAGCTTCACACGAGTGCCGTGCTCAGCTTGTGCACATCCACACACATAAACAAATAGAATGGGTTTTGCTTGTTTGTTTGTGTGTTTGTTTCCAGACAGGGTTTCTTTATGTAGCCTTGGTTGTCTTGGACTTTCCTTTGTAGACCAGGCTGGCTTTGAACTCACAGAGATCTGCCTGCCTCTGCCTCCTGAGTGCTGGGATTATAGGCATGTGCCACCGTGCCTAGCTAATGTTTTTAATTTTTAAAAGAGCAGACAAAATGTGAGGCTTTGAGGAAATTGTGTTGTTTGAGGGTGGGATTTATGACATCACATTTCTGTGGATGCAGATTTTTGTTTCTCCTTTTATGAAGGGGAGTTTCAGTGAGCATCACTCTCTTTCTCTGTGCATTTACTCATGTTTTTGGCTAATGGAAGAAGTGACCATCCTGACTGGTCAGAGTCTAGGATTTTCACCATCACTCAAGAGTAGGAAAGGGGCCTCATCTCATCTCTTGGATCTGCCACACACAAGATCATTTGTGGTCTTGTCATTGTTGTGCCCAAGCTGATGTAGTCCTGACTTTCCTTGGTTTGTGGGAGTCTCCCAGCTGGGTCCTAAGGATTGAGCTTGGACAAGGAAGTCTTCTAGTTGTCTAAGATCTGGCCTGTAATGTGAACTTGTCCACTTTTCTTCTGAGAAGGTTGGGTATTTCTCCAGTCATTCAAAGAACTGCTGTTATGATCTCCCTGTCTGGATTTTGTGCCTGGCCTTCCCCTTGAGATTAGAGGTATGATTAGGAGTGATGGATAAACTGTGGTATTTGCTTTATTTATCCTAAAATAAGTAAAAATTAAAGTTGGTGGGAATGCAATAATGTCATTGTAATACTGAAAAAAGTACAATTTCAAGCTTACAAAGAAGTTGAAACAAGAGTATGAAGAATCCCAATTTACTTTCCTCCCAAATTTTGTTGTTCTATGTTTCCTACCCTCTCCTACATATCCTGTTCAGGTGCCCTTCCAGGTAAATACAAAAAAAAGTCATGATTTAATAAATGATGTTAGGATAACACGTCTATTGGAGAGCTCTAGCTCTAGCTCATGCTTTATAACTTAATGAGTTCCGTGAATCAAAGTTCTAAATATATGAAAGGAGAGAGAACATAGAGAAAAAGGTGCTTATAATCTTAAAATTCAAGTCACATCTATGTAAGATAGAAGCTGTAAAACATAAAATGGCAAGAAGATAAATAATGAGATTATCATATCAAAAATCAACAAACGTAAAACCTGTTGGCTGGGAATGCAGCTCAGTGGTGGAGCAGTAGCTTGGCATAGCCAGGGCCCTCCTGGAGTAAGCTTGTTTGTCAGTCACTATTGGAGTTATCAGACATTAACTCCGTTGGGGTAAGCAAATAATTGAAAGGTTTGGTTGATGTTGAAGAATTTCTCTTCTGAATGACCAAACATTTTTTTCTTTGCTGTCACTAGGTAAATCCTTATAAAGTTATATATGGTGAGTGCCTTCGTCATGACAGCAACGTTTTGCTGCTGCTTAGCAAATTAACTATTTCATTCTTGTTATTCTCAGCTAACATAGCTGTTTCAAACTGTTTTTTATAGAATAGGTTTTTAAGCTGAAATATTCTATAATAAAAAAAATTTCATAAAACATTTTTCAAGTAAAAACACTTTGTCTGAGAGTATGTTTGGAGAGAAAAATGCATACATCATGAGTGGTTCTGGCTCAGGAAAGTTGGTTTTGTGAGTACTCATTGTGGGCTCTATGTTCACAGAGTTTGGGAGTAGACACCCTTCCTCCTCCGGACCCCAAGCCACCTGGAGAAGAGTTTAACTTCAGTGTGGGGTTTAAGGATTTAAATGGTAAGCACGGAAACTTGTGTCTTAAGCAATATGAAGCCATAATGGTGAGTGATGTCTCCATGGACTTGTACTGTGACCACGAAACTAAGAAAATCTTGGTAAATAGTGTGTGAGTCCAGGACTGGAGATTGTATTTTATTGGGTTTACAGTGAGTTAAGAAAAGTCTATTAGATATTTTTGCCTAAATGAAAGGGAAGACCATCTTCCATTTATGAAAAGTGTCAGGATAGCCTCACCTTTTAAAACAAATGAGCAAAGTTTCTTCTTATTACTAAGGTATCAAAAGATGTTAGTAAGGGGCTGTCTCTTCAGATAAAAAGTAAGTGTTTAATACAACTGATAATATATAAATGGGAACTGACTCATACTGCATTTTGTCCAGGTATAGTATTTTAATTGATCCATATAACTTACTGTTTGAAACTTTCAGTGTCCCTGAGACCAAAGCTTTACTTTATAGCAAGATCCTATTTACCATTTATTCCAGAGAACTGTGAGATTGGATGTCATTGAAATGATAATAAATCTTGAAATAATCACTTCCTAGTTAGTAAGACTTCTCTGGAACCCTTGGAGTCAGACATGCTGTCATTTGGCCACAAGGGTAGCCTCGCTGGAACTCTTGAAAAAGAATAGCTGACGACCTTCAATGCCCCCCAAAAATGTAACAATTAAAGTTGCAAAGAAGCTCAGTACAGAACCCAAAGTCCTGGCTTCTCATTTAGCTTCATTGTTTCTGTCCTTTGCAGCATTTTCTTCACAAGAGCACCTGTGACTCTTTCTTGGTCAATTACAATTCACCTCTTTCTAGAATTCTCTTTTTTCTATACTCTTCTGTTCACCACACAATTCATGCCAGCCATGTCCACCAAGATAACAGCATTCATGACGTTTTTTTAAAAGGTAGTCCACTTTTGTGGAATTATGACAGCAATGATTAACAGATACCTACACATGAGGTTCCAGTGGGTATTTTGTTTGGGGTTTTTCTACTTTTACTTGTTTTGTTGACTTGGTCTCACTATGTAGTCCTCCCTAACCTGGAGCTTCCTGTGTAGACTATGGTGGCTGTGAACTCTCAGAGATCTGCCTGCATCTGGGTCTGAAAGTGTTACAAATGTGTGCTTTATCATTAGTTCCACTAAAATTTAAGTTTAGTCCCTGTTTCTGTTGCTGTCGTTAACTCTCTGTTTTCTAAACACTTGATGCTTAGTATCAAAAAAGTAGCAAAGATGATAGAGTAAACTCTTAAACCTTTAAACATAGTCAGTGCTAGGATGTGGCAGCAAGAAACAAGATGCTCATTAGTGGATGACTTCAGGAGAGGATACAGCCACCAACTTCCTAATGTGTGTAGAAAAATAAATTTGATGAGGATACAATTTTATTGACCTCAGTTTAAGTGTTATTAAAATGAGTTAAAAATATTTTCCCAAACTTATTTAGAGGATAATAGAGAATAGAATCCATCTCTCTTTCCCTATTCCTCACTACGTAATTCTATAATACTTAGTCTATATTAACACATTTAAACTTTATCAGAAATGTGGGTTTTTTTAAATATTAATAAGATATTAAAGAGCATTTTAATGTAAAATGAACTTTTCTTTAGACAGTAATATAAGTATCATTATAGGGATTTTATTACTAAAGTATTTATAATTATGTATAATTTAGCTATAATAATTTACAATAATATTTGTTTAAAAGTTTTACATTAACAGTTGTGAGCAGCCATATGAGGAAATTATGAACAGGCTTCAATTGTTGTTATTTCTCTGAAAACATATTTTTAATTTTTGTATTGTTTATTGCAAATGTGTACAAATATAATTGATTTTTGAGTATTGATCTTGTATCCTATACAATCTTGCTGAGCACACTTTTAGTTTTGATGGTGTCTTAGTATCCTTAAGATTTTCTTTATAAAGCTCATGTCATCTTTGAATAAAAATAGTTTTTTCTTCTCTAATTTGCATGCATTTTAAAATGTTTTATTAAAATCTTCACATGTTACAGAAAGAGTCCCCTATCTATTGCTTTACTCTCTAAATGGAATGTAGTGATGGTTTCTAACTCTCCCTGCTTCCTTCCTCCTTCCTTCCTCCTTCCCTCCCTTCTCTCTCTCTCTCTCTCTCTCTCTCTCTCTCTCTCTCTCTCTTTTCTTTACTTCATTGTTTGATGGGATTTTTACTCTGTAGCCTGGTTGTCTTGGAACTGGCTATAGACCAGACTGGGATTAAAGGCCTGTCAGCATGCTGTTTCTTATTCTATCTTTTACCTATTTTTTGTCTCTCTCATTGTAACTATATTGTTTCTTGTTGTATCTTTTTCTTATTATATCTGTTAGATATTGTTCTCATGGTTTGTTTTGTGCTTCCTTAATGTATCTCTTTCTTGTACTGTGGTCAAATCTCTCTTACATTACATTTTTAAAAGAAAAGGGGGAAGCTACAGAAACAAGGCAGATAACTTACTTAAAAGCTAAGGATAAACCATAGAATGCAAAAGTTCTGTCTTCATGTCACTTAACTCCAGAGTCAAACTTAGCAGTGTCTACTCTCCAAGTTTAGATCACATGATCTCTTGAGGGCACTAAGGGGATGAAATGAAGGGTCTGGTGGATGCTTTATCTTCAGGAACCGTTTATAAGAGACATGTACTTTCTACCAAGGTGCACCGTTCACTTGAAAATCTTAAACAATCAGGGGTCCCACTAAAAAGGAGTGTCAATCCTACGTGAGTAACAGTGTTAAACGTCCACTGTGTATCTTTTCTAAAACAAAACTCTGAAATCACATTAATGCTTTGCACCCCTTAGGTTCTCACTGCCCACAGAACCAAGTGCTATATCCTGCCTATGGCAATATCATGTCCCCAGTTCCAGCTCCATACAAACATGACTCAACATTAATCAAATATGTAAATATTTATTGATCATTCTACTTTATTAAGTATTGCAGTATTTCTCAAGTTCTTTCCCAGGGGGAGACATAAGCAGCATCCTGCCCCTCCTCTTAAAGTCCAAAGACACACTGGGGCACCAGGCAACCAAAGTTCACTCTGGAAGCCAGTGAGTTTATTGGGCTTTTTTCTAGCACAGGTGAAGGGTTACCTACTGGAGGGTAAGCATTCTCTTTCTAGGGGCCACACTGAAAACTGCTATCACCCAGCGTGGATGAGGGATTTCTAAGAGTTACATGGATGGATCCCCTTCCACCCTAGTCTTCCCAGCCTCTTCTAGCCTTCCTGGAGGACAAGTGCAGAGAAAAGGTGGTAGCAAGAGGCTGGATACTCGGTGAGGATCTCCTCTAGGAGGGATAGAAACAGTCAGCAAGTACAGCGAGGACGGTTGGTTGAAACAGGCACAACTGCATGCCCCAAGATAGCAGTTGTTTGGCTCAAATGGTAGTCCTTATACAACATGTACATTGTGTGCTAGAAGTCAAAGGACAAAAGCACATTCTTTAGTTCAGGGTCTATTGAGAGATATCTATTACTGTGACACCCTTTCAACTGCCTAGTTAATCTGCAGCAATGGCTGGTGTCCCAGTAAGTCATAGTTCCTGGCCATTGTCATCTAAAGTTATATATAGCACCAGCCTCACTCGTTACTCTTAAAAGTTAAAAAAAAAAAAAAAGATTTATGCCTGCATTCTAGAAGAAGCCATCAGATGCGGTCACTGGGAACTGAACTCTGAACAGTGCTCTTAACCGCTGAGCCATCTCTCCAGCCGCTAATGCTAAAAGTTTTAAGTTTGGATGAGAAATTATACACAATCTTCTTACCCACCCTCTCTGATATCCCTTCTCAACCAAAGAACAAGATAGCATAGGCATCAGATTAGAGCCACCGAGGGAAGGAATTCGTGGGTTTGAGAGCCCTTACACAGCACTCACATGACATCTTACAGCCTTGACAGGGTTTCGCTTACTGTGTGTTGGCATTCGTGACGTTCCCATTCCCAAAAGACTTAGTATCTATAGAACAGAAAGTGTTCAAAACGGAAGTTAATGCTGTTCAGATCTGAGGGAGGCAGAATCAGGCTTTATGTCAAAGCCCCTCACTCTTCCTTCAGCACACTCTTCCCTAGGTTCCACCGCCAAGGGTGGGACTCACTCCTGGAGGCTTCTAGCTTCTCGGTCACCTATCAGAACAGCCAAGCATCGGATCAGCCAGAGCTGCAGGGCCACTTATCCTCAGCCAAAGGCTGGGCAGGACACGGCAGGGCTTGGTGTCTGAATCCTGCGGGCCACAGTGGCTGGGACAAGAGAGGCACACTACAGGCCTGCAGAAACTTGGATGTTTGAAGTCTCAGGTCAGACTCTGAGGTGCCCAGTTCCCCTGAGGGTGTGTTCACATGGGCTGAATACAGCCCTTCAGCGCCTCTTTCCCTGTTCCTCAACTCGGTCACAAGGTCATGGGTCCTCCATGGGTAGACCCCTATAGCCGTGACACCCGTCACCGTTCAGCCTTTGTCTTTGTATGCACAAAGACCCCACCATCTCGCCTGCCATTCACACAGAGTAATGCTCCAGTATCTGCTGGAAAAATCCTTCCTGGTGGTGGAAGAGCTCCCAGTCCCACACTTGTCATCTCTTAGCGCCTTCACAGAGCTCCACACCCTGCAGCCAGCGTTGAGCCTGCATGCCTCGGGCTCCTGGGTCCTCCAGTCTGTCTTAGAGATCCAGTGATATCCACTGACCTCTTCGCACCAGTGACCTCTCCAGTGACACTGTGGGAAACTCTGGAGCAAGCCCACAAAGGGACTAAATTCTCCTACAGGCACAGGGTTGTTCTCTTCTGTCTCCAGCAGTCAGTGGTTGGGTCATCTACTGCACCTATTACTATGGCCTCCTCCTCTCCAAAAGCGGTCCCCAGCCCGGCTGCACTCCACAGCGACAGCTTCCAGCAGCTGGTTTAGGCCCCTTTCAGATGGGAAGTCCAGCAGACAGGCAATTCTTCCCTAGTGGGGTGCCCTAGTGGGTTACCCATCGCAGCAACTTCTAAGTGGGTTCCTGCAGGTGGGGGTTGTCCCCAGGGCAACTTTATGAGATGCAGCCTCCCCGCCCCAGCCCAAAGCAGCTCCAGGTGCCACCTCTGTCTCTGAAAACATTTTAAAATAATATTTTTATGCAAAAATGGTTTACAAAAAAAAATACCTGCTTCACACATTTGATGAACAAATCTTGAAATGAGCACTGTGCCAGAACCACTATTCTGATGTTCTGTGCTGTGTGGCTTTCTGCTTTCTGCTTGGCTCCATTTCTGACACTCGCACTTCCTCATTCTGGGCCCACCCCGTCTTCACTGCATCATCATGTGGCGAGTGCCTGATCTCCAGTGCACTCTGCTGATGCCCTACTCCCTCTGTGCCAGGCAATCTAGTCAACTTGCAGAGCATGCATGTGGCTTATACAGCAGCTCACTCAGAACAGGTTCTAACAAATTCGCCTCCTTCCCCACCTCCCTGAAACACATTGTTCATTTTTTCTTATAAAAGCTCACCCAGCCCACTGTCTTCATAAAATCTGTACTACTTAGTCTCATTTTTATTTACTCTTTAATACATTTGCTGCATTAATCCTACACTTAAAAATGGAAGGTTTCCTGCGGAGCTTACAGAGGTTTGCTCTGTATGTCCATGCTCTCCCCTCCAAATGCTTCAAGAGAATTCCCCTTCTGCCATGTCCACTTTCCTCCTCCTCTACTTTTTCAAAGCCCAAGGCTCTTGCATTAAAATATCTAACAGTTCCCTACCATAGGCATCTACTCATGTGCTCTACCTGACCCTGTAGCTGGAGCGTGACACCCCCATGCAGAACACATTCCCACCTTTTGTTCTTGATAGGAACTCATTCACATTAGGCACTAAATATAATTATGTCAGGAGTCCCACATACCCACAGATGAAAATACTTTCAACCTTTCTTATTGTACCATAAACATTTAAATAATGATCCCCCCCATGTAGATATTGATCTTTAAAAAACTGCTTTCATTTTTTTCCAGGTACAAATAGTTGAGGTTTCCTCCCCTCCCCATTAATGTTACTTTTTCTCTTAGAGTCCTTAAATGCACTGGAAGACCAAGATTTAGATGCCCTCATGGCAGATCTGGTGGCAGATATAAGTGAGGCTGAGCAGAGAACCATCCAGGCTCAGAAACAGTCCTCTCAGAACCAGCATCACTCAGCCCTTGTGTCGGCCTCAGACGGACAGGATGCAGCCTTGCCTGGTTATGGAGCTGCTGCAGTTGGTGTTAGCCACTACGAGGACGTGTTACCACCCCCACCAGCAGACCCCATGTTCGACCTTCCACCCCCGCCACCGCCTCCTCCTCCTGAACCTCTCTCTAAGGTAAGTATGTAGGACCCAGGATGCCAGAACCATTGCTGTCTACCTACAGCGTACCACCCTGGACTTTCTTTGAGGTGATAATTACATCCGTAAGCTTGCCTAGACCTCTGATGTACTGAAACACAAAAGTGTGTGTTTATCGCAAGTCTGAAGAGGCTTCCTGAGCAGTGTTGTCTCATCTGTTCTCTAGTCCCCAAAATGAATACTGCAGATGAGAAATATAGAAAAGAATAATTTTGTTTAGCTCACAGTAATGAAGGTTGGAGAGTATTACGTTGTGTTTCTGGCAGCTTCCCAGTTTTGAGTAAGGGCTTCTGCTCATGACCCACTTGGTTTTTAAAGATAATACTTGGTCCCACCTTTTAATTCTTTACACGGGAAACTAAACTTCAAAACATGTTTTAGTAAGGACATTTAAAGTATAACAGATGTGTTTGAAGAATACATTAAGGCCAAATATAGTATTTATCATAGTTTGGCTAAAAGTAATATTTTCATATGCATATTCTTCAATAATACTCAAACTTTGGAGGACATGTTTTATTAACTTTGCGTGTATTAAGAGATTGATTTATATGTTTCATTGTCTCTGTTCCTAGCCCAGAATGCAGAAAATAAGAGGTTTTAAGTTGAGCTAATAAATTATTGCCTCTGGCAGCCCTGTTCAGTGGGATGAAGGCTATGTGTCCTTGGAATGCCTTTATTGGGTGCATAAAGGATGCTTAGTATTCATAAATTTCTGATTTTTGTAAAATAACTACAAAGTTTACATTGTTCTTACTTGGCATGTTAATTACAACATGTCTCTCAAAAAAAGTTAAAAAGAACATTCTGAATCCTTAAGTGAGCCCCTTTAAAAGATTTTCAGGTGAGAACCCAGTTCTGTGTTCTGTGGCTTCCACACTGGCTGTCCTGAATGATGGTGGGCAGTATCATCAGTGTGACCCTAGTGATCCTGGGACATTCTGCAGTTCTAAATGTAAATCAAATGTTAAACCACACTCTATCACACTCATTGCCTCACCATATTTATTCTAGAAAAATCACTTTAAAATTGCTGAAGCTCCAAGCAGAGGGTTCCTATGGTGTCAGAGGGAATCATGAATTTTTTGAAAGTAAATACAAAATTGAATGCACAAGTAGAGAGTCACAAAGTTCCTCACTTTTGCATATTTTGAGTGTCAAGCATCTTGACACTCAAAATATTTTAAGAACCAGTGGTATGAGAAGAGGTTCTTCTTTCAAACAATGGGAATGTAACCAGAATACTTCATTTCCTTATCATGATAGATAGATAGATAGATAGATAGATAGATAGATAGATAGATAGAT